CCAGCAGCAGGCATTGCCTCCTCTTCAACCTCATTCTTGGGTGGACTTGGATCTCTATCACGCATCTTCCGCTTCTTGCCAGAGCTGGACGGAGACATAGCCTTAAGTCGTTTCAGCTGCCTTGAGTGTCTCCTGGACAAACGAGGCCTTTTTGCAGCTTTGGTTGGCTGCGTCTCGCCCTCCTTCTTGACAGGTGTGTCAAGAATCTCAATTTCCTCAGCAGGTGGGGCATCATCCTTAATCTCCGGCACTTCCTGATCTTCCTGATCTTGGCCTTTCTTTCCTCCTGCACCACGCCCACGACCAGGCTTGCCACCCCCTCGAGAACGCCCTTTGCCTTTGCCACCACCACGCCCTCGACCACGACCTCTACTTTTGCTCTTCTTTTGTTTTGCCTCTTCTTCTCCCTGAAGCTCTTCCTGAAGCAATTTGTCAGGATCTTCACTTTCGCGAATCATCTGACGAAGGGCTCCTTGTGCCTTCAGAAGGCAAGAGCTGAAGGCTGTGGGTCAGGGATCATCCTGCCTGACATTTTTGCATGCCAGTCTATCAAGGTGCTACTAAGGTTGAAAGTCAATTCACAAGTTGTACTATCTGACCATCTACTACTTCTTCTCGAGTGGAACGGGGATATGTACTTGCAATTCCTTTGAAGTGCCCCTAATATATAATATAATATGTGTAAAGGCGGTGTTGCAAAGCATCATTATACAAGATTGATCGAGTCATCATCACAATTACAGTAATTGATAGTAATTGTTTCATCATCAGTCGCAACAGCTTTCCACCCCTTTTACTTAATGACTGAGAAAGAAACACGTTTGAACTGTAGCTACGGTGCCTTAACCATTTCAGCCATGTGATCTTCAGTCTTTGCCCCTCCCTCATGGTCAAAACGCTTCAACGCAGCTTGAGCTTGATCCTGCAGGCTTTGCGGAATGCTCACTTCCTCTTTCAAAGGCGCCCGGTCCTGATTGGTGCAAAGCAGTGTGCGGCATGATCTAAATTGGTTCAGTTGAGTGCTGGAAGCAATCCTACCCTTACATCAGTTTGAGTATATGTTATACGTATCTCGATCAAAGTAGAACCTACTATACAACTGGACACAACTTAATTGTGTAACATAGGGTCGACTCGGCCAACTAGGTCCCCACCTTGAAGGCCCCTCTGCTTTCATTCTTTGGGTCTTTCTCACTATCAGACTCCACAATCTCTTCAATATCCACCAGTACTTGGGGATCTACCGGTTCAGATTGGTCAGGCTCCTTTTTGGATTCCTTTTGAGACTCCTCGAGCTCAGGTTCAGGGGCACGTTGAGGTTCCTGGAGGGCCCGGTGTTGTCCAGGGCAAAGCGGGCCTTTCTCATCTTCCAACAAAGGTTCCTGGGGAGCATGAGGTGAAGCCTGGGAGAGCTTAGGTGTAGGCTCTGGATCTGTCAAACCCACTTCCTCTGGTGGGTTTTGCTTGGGAGGGTCATCCATTGAGTCAAGCTCAATCACGTTCAGGTCGTGGATCTCCACAACCTCCTCCAAAGCATACTCCTCATCGGAGTCCAATTCTTCTTCCTCCCCTGATTCACCCTCCTCCTCATCTTCCTCATCAACTGGTGTAGGTGCTGCTGGCTCTGCAGGAGCAAGGCCGCTTGCGATGGTCAGAGCCGGAAAGGATCGGATGGGGGAGACCTGGGAATCGGTGTAGTCCATTGCCTGCGTCTCCGCGTCGTCGATGTAGACGGCTCTTTTGGCTGCCTGGCAGTCAAACAATTCAATTAATAAATACACTAGGCTATCGACTAGCTTGCGCTTGTTTAACTATATTTGGTTTGAAAGCTAGATGGCCATGGAAGTATCACAATTTGATATCCAGTTGACGGAAAGAAACTGCCTCTTCTTGCTTCACTCGGCGTGCGCCAATCCCTCGTGTGGGAATCTTTTTCCCATCAGGTGATAGCATCCCATGCTCCTGGCAAAGTTGAAGTGGGGGGGATGGTTGTGGAGGTGGCACACGACCTTTCCACAGCACAGTGTAGAAAAAGTTGTAGACAATTATAATCACATGCGGTCTATATATGTATGCTTCTCATTGCGGGCATTTTAAAAACATGCATACCATTCACTGAAGGAGTTAAAGTGAAACCACATTGGGCCCCCCATTAAATTCCTAACAGGAGTGCCCTGGCCCTAGAATACACACAACATGCAAATTCCTTCAGGTTGGCGTAGATGACAGCACGAAGTTCTTGCATCGGACCATGCCCTTTCCTGCAAGTCTATGCAAGTCGGGCGTTCCCAGGAGGGTTGATCTGGCTTTGAGATGCGCATTATTGTTGCACTCACTAGCTGCGACTAGCTTTTCGTTACGTGTTTGTTGGACAGAATGGAATGATCAATCCCAGCCTGGAATTACGATATCGCTGGAATCTGTCCATGCAATATGCAGCACATTTCCTCAATATGCCCCCTTCAGTTTCTGCCCAGGCCTGCCATTACAGTCAAAACGTACATTTTGGGCAAGGTCTTGCGACATGCTTCAAAGCACTAGTGGTGCAATGTACCAACACGTTTGATAGTGCACCTCATGTAGCTTTGGATTGGACCAAGGGTTGAGGGCGAGGTGCTGGCTCACCCAAGACAAGGCGGCCTGATCAAGAGGCATGGGGCCAAGGTTTTTCTTTAGACATGGAACACAAAAGCGTACTGTGATTGACCGTCCAGGCCTGTACATCGAGGGCAGGGGGCAAATCATGTGCAAACCCAGCCAAGTACTCCAAGATCACAGCATGGTTGTGCTCAGATTCCACCTGCTTGGGCAGGCTCTCATTGATGAATCAGTTTCACTGCAAGAAAGCAGTTGCCATGGCAAGATAGACTGCTAGGCCTATGAAATAATGTTCGAGTAGAAAGAGATAGCCTCCCGTTCACCAACCCGAGAACGGTCGACAATGATGAACTGGAACTTTGGCACCTGGCGAAAGGAATAGATGGTAAAAACAAAGGGTAGGCGCATGCATGCATCGATGATTCCTGGACTACGATATATCATGATCATTGCACTGACTGTATGAACTATGAACGTATGAACTGTATGAAGTCAATGAGCATTGGCGGTGAAGTTGTATTTTAAGGGTTCATTGCCATCAAAAACACACCTGGGTTGACCCCTATTGGGAGATTTTGATGATCACTTGCGACCAATCGTTATTCTCCCAGGCATCAGGAACAAACACCCTCAATCAAGATTACAAATATTTGTTGGATGTTTTCCGGCTTTGGGCTGAGGCTCAAGATGTCAAGTCCTGTTGGATCCAATCCTTTCAGTTGAATTCTCGATTATTCATGATTTATTGTGGTTTTGGTTGGGATCACACCCTTGAGTGTGGCGCAACAACAAATTCCCCACAAAGGCACCTTCTTCCGGTCATTGTCGGACAGTCCTGCTCTTTGACGGAGAAGCTTCCTCCTTTTTTCCAAGAAGTTGTCCTCCTCCAGCACATCGAGCAAAAACGCCTGCACACACACATGCACACATGACACACGTGCACGTGATTGGACATGATACAGGAAATACGGCACATGTTTTGCATGCCATAAGAAACTAATAATTAATACATGACACACACACAGAGTGCAGACTGGCCAACACTGCTCAATCAATATGGCTCCAATTCTTTTCATTATATAGATCGATCTATTATTTGTTCAAAGTGTTTGATCCAGAGGCAAGTGTGTACCTCCAGCCCTTGCAGTAACCCATTGCCTTGACCTCTTCTGTGCGAGTCAAAACGCAAGGTGTCTTCGCAAGCGCCATGGCCATCTTTGCAACAAACTTATCCCAATGGATAAGCCCTGAAAAAGTGCCAATGCCCTGACAAGGTATGTCAACCACTGTGAATATATGTGAAAAAGACATCACTGCGGTCAATTGCAAAATGTACTCGAGCATGTATATGGCTTCACGCTGTACAAGCTGACTGGGTTGCAGTGCTTTAGTGGCTTGAAATATGTGCACTGTAAATGCACAAGTTCATTGATGCAAAGCTGCAATGCATGCTTACCCAACAAACATCTCTCAACCTGGACCAAATGTCGACGTGTTTGACCCATAGACCCTGCAAAGGCGGGATCGCGCACCTGAGTCGCTCAGCTCGTCCTCATCCAAGTCCACAATGTCATCTTTGCAAGATGCTTCAAAGGTGCCTGTAGTACAGGTAGGCAGATGTTGCTTGAACAGAAAAGGAACTACTAGCTAGCTAGTCCACTGTTACTGCTCTAAGCAAAATCTCACACCAAGCCCTGAACGCTTTCGAAGCGCTCGCTTCATTCAAAGCCACACTCCATGAACGAAGCGTGCGCCGCAAACATTGGATTGGCACTCTTTATTTTGTTTGCCAACATCTGGTGCATGCTTGACACATTGTGTCATCATTGTTTCCCTGGGTGTGTGTGTGTGACATGAATAATGTCAACATGAAGGCCTTTAGTCTATAGCTATGTGTGACCATTCACCTCGAGCTCATGCTCGGTATCTCGAGCACATGCTCGCTTGAGCGAAGCATCAGCGAAAATGACGATGCCTGGCAAATAGGCTGGAGTCAGGGTGAGTCGAAGGGCATCATCTTCTAACATCTTATGGAAATAGTCGCAGAGCTCATAGAAATGGTTGCCGTGTGCTAGCCTATTTTTTTAATGGTCTTGGAAGCCTAGGGTATATATGCCTTTTTTTGGGGGAGGGGGCAATCCGTCCATTTGGTTTTCGCCCGAAGTCATAGAAAGGAACGCTCACCCCGACGCTCCGTGAAAACAGGCCGACTCCCGGTCCCTCCAAAGCGGGCTTGGTTCGGGTCGGGACCCCTCCACTCCAGAATAATTCGGGTACGGCCCCAAAGTCCTTGAACGGAGGGTCCAGGGTCGGGTCTGGGCTCCAAAACGCTCGCTCCACGCGTTTCTTCGAGACCCTTTCTGAACGGTTTTTTCTGCGGCACCTCCAGTCTCGCTGCAGTCTCAGCTGACCGCCGCTCCACCAGTTCCTGACCAAATGGAGATGCTGGTGATCTGGTCGTGAGTGCACAACTTGGATGAACAACCATGCATCGTTGCTTGCAGAATCGAATGCAGAGGCTTCAGCAAACCTGCCAGGGCCTCTCTTGTGGGGACTGGTGACGCAAGCCTTACCCCAAAAGGTCCTACCCTTGACCTCGTTGGAATGGTCGCCAGTCGTCGCCGAAGGAGGCCAGAGATGGGCCTGTTCTAGATGGGGTGGTCCCTGCCTTCCCCTCTTCGGTTTCGAGTGCCAAACACACATGTTTTCGACCTTGTACACATCCTCGTGGTCTGTAGCTGATCCACTTGAGACGGACTTGAGACGGTGGCGCCCCCACCTTCACTTCGCCCAGGCGTTGCTCTGCCAGCTCTTTGCTTTGCTGCTGCACGCGCTCGGAGCACTCGCGCGCGAAGGCTTTCACTTCGCCCAAACCTGGCGAGGTTCGCGAGAGGACTTGGTGGCAGAGGACAACCAGTCGATGGGACGGGATCTATATACTGAGTAATTCTTCTCATGCCACGAGCTCCATGTCGGGATGCTTTTTAAGACCCATGATCAGACACGACTTGTCTGGGACTGGCATATATTGACCCCCCAGACCACCACCCCTGGCCGTTTTGAAGGCAGTCCGGACTGACAGTCCCAGACAGGTTGTGTCTGGGATGATCGGTGAGGGACTCCTGATGTGTGGCACTCCATGGCACGGCCGGAACTCCGAAACTGAGCATTCCCTGATACTCTCATGAGAATCTTCCGGGTCCTCAGAGAACCATTCTATCACTGACTATTCGGTAGATATTCTGAGTTCTACTCTGAGATACTCTGCTTCATCCCTGAGATACTCCTGAGTATCCCATTTGAGAACCTGAGAACCATTCTATGACCGTCTTCTGATTTGGAACCCCCCACGCCCCTCCACGCCACCGACCACCGAACAAACCCGCTCCTTCGGAGCATTGCGTGGCCATGGCGAAGAGCCGCTCCAAACGGCCCTCCAGTTGCCTGACGGCGCCGAAGCGGAGCGGTGGGAGCGGTGGGCCACGCGGCGGCTCGGCGGCTCGGAAAGGGCTGAATAAGGGCGTTCAGTGGTTTTTGTTTGGGATGGTGTTTTGATCGGTATTTCTCAGGTCTTGGGTTTGAAATGAGGGGTGCAGGATGGTGCAGGGTAGCTGGCGTTTCAAGACCCAAGTCTTGGGCGGGCCTTCCATGCTCTGCGTTTCAGGAAAAAACACAAATGCCTCCATGGCCCTTTTCAAGCGACCCCAAAAAGAGACGTGTCCCAAGCGACCAGGTACCACCCTCTGAGGAAAACATTTGCAAATAATAATGCACTGCCAAAAGAGAAAAACTAAGGTCCCAACTAAATGCTAGTCATAATGAGTGAGAATAGTGAACTTATCATCTCCTGAGTTGAGGTCTTGGTCATCAATTTGACCCTATTCAGGCTCATCTTTAAGCTCAAAATTATGCCCTGATGGCGTTAAGATGGGGCAACCTTCTAAAAGAGTCTAAAAAACGGTGAGAATACTTCAAGGGAGTCAGGACTCTGTATCAATTTGATCTGATATGTTTGGCCAGCCACCTGGGCCCAACCCAAAGGCCCGGTGCAGCGGTCTCTGCCTCTCGGCTGTTTGGCAGCCTTGCAGCTCTGTGCGCATGCCTAGCGCCGCGGGGGTTCGCCCACAAGCAGTAGACTCCCTGGAACTCACATGAGTTAAGTGGAGTGAGTTCACACGCCTGGTTGGTATTCGGAAAAAAACAGGTCTTCCAAGGGACCATGCCATGCCACGTAACCATATGAGTTAGTGGGCGGGGTAATATCATGTGCTGAACCCTTTCCAAGATCTCAGACAAGACAAACACGGCGAGTGGGGGAACCATGTGGAACGAAACAATGGCTGATAGAGACATCAGGCTGCGGCAATCGCGGACCACTCCTTGTTTCATCGACTGGATGCGGTGGACCACTCTTGCCCTAAGAATCATTGGACCCTCCGAACTGGAGGGTTTGGACCCGAACCAAACCTTCACCGAGCGGGTCGGGTCCTTGATTCTTAGGGTCCATGGTACAACTTTTGAAAGAAAGATCGGCCATGTGTTCCCGCCATTTCTACATACAAGCCTTTCTATAAATATCCTCTAACCTCTACAGCATCTTTGCCTCAGAACTAAACTCAAAGCTCCGATTGTGAGTGGACGGATCCTATCATGAGATCCCCTGTAGGCCTTCTGTCCTCTTCACCATCACCCCCCCCCACACCATCTCAGATTGGTGAACCAAACCTTTGATATTCTTGAATCATCTTGAATCTCACAAATTCTGAACCCTAGATAACCCTAGAACATCAAAGCCTTTCCGTTCCAACAAAAAGCGACTTCTCCCAACCATCCATTCCATCGCGCCGTTTCACCTGCATGCGGCCATCGGTCCCCAAAAAAAAAGGGTCCACGGCACTGCACGAGTCGCCTCGACGAGCTTCCATCAGTTGCTCCATCTGCTGCGACACGTCGTTCCACTGCGTCTTCAGCGCCTGCTGCGACGGACGGTGCTGCGCTTCGACGCGAGGGTTTCGCTTCGCCGGTTCGGTTCGGGAAGAGTGCAGGAGCCAAGGTGGGAAGCCAGGGCTTGGTCTTTTGTAGACTTTAGGGCATGTGGAACCTCGAGTCCTCTCATGTCCTGCCCCTTCAGCTCATCTCTGCCACCCAGGTCCGCCGAGCAAGCCAGCTGGCTTCAGCGAAGCCACACGGCCAGCTTCTATGCGCGCCTTGATCTCGGATGCTCGTTGCTCCAACTGCTCACTGTGCTGATGCCAGCAGTGCAGTTGCTCTTCCCGTGCCTGGCCGATCGGCTGAAGAGCTCGGGATGGTCGTCTGGTCGACGGCGTGGGGCAAATCCAGCACACCATTCTGACTCCCTCCTCTTGAAACGATCGTCGTATCTATATATACATGGGAGGATTCTTGAAATTGATCAAGTCTTTCTTGTTCTCTCCTCTTTAGTCTTTCTACTACATGGTTTTCCAACCAATGCCCAGACTCAGAACCACCCGATGCGCCGTTGCCTTGTCGGCGGTCTCTTGTGCAACTTTGAGGTCCGCGAATCCTCGCGGGCGCGACGCACGGCTGCAGCGCCACGGCAGATCCCCGAGCCACGGACACTCACTCCCTGAGATCACCAATGGGACCTCAGGACCCAGTGGCCAAAACCTTATAGGGTTGTAGGGTCTATGTGAGTTTGGGGGAGTGTACTCTTCCTGTGATCATCATGGTTACGATGGCATGGCCCCGTTGCCGGATGAACTCTGAACCGTCGTTTTAAGACCCAAAACAGGTGGTGAACTCACTCACCCCCCCCCTCCACTTCCGCGTCGCATCCGAGACTCTTTCCCTCCACTTCCGTCCGATCATTGATCAAGGAGTGTAAACCCTTTTCCGGAGAAGGGATGAGAAGGGACACCAAATTCTTCGTAGGGAACATCCTGGCAACTTGAGCCAAGTCCTGCCTCTTTCTCCGAGTCTATGGATACACTTCTGGAAACCAAAAAACCATGACCGACACACACCCAGAACGACTCCGGTTCCGGAGCTCGACTCCGGGGTCTGGTGACTGCCCCCACTGGTGCCAGGGCTCTTCAAATGTCCGCCCTGCGAGTCGAAAACACCTCGAGCTCTGTGTGGATCCATATGGGGGTACCATACCCAAACACGACCCGTCTGGGACTGCCAGTCCGGACTGCCTTCAAAACGGCCAGGGGTGGTGGTCTGGGGGGTCTGGCTGGGGCGGCAGTCCGTCCGTCCAGTCCCATGCATCGCGTATGGGATACATTTGAGGTCATGTTCATAGGGGTCAATGTCGATGTACTACCTGGACTCCACGCACCGTTCATACGAACATAGAGGTGCCACTGTACCCACTGTACTCGAGGTACGAGTTCCGGGTCGACTCCTATAGTATACCGTTTCAGTCCCATGGATGGTTTATCAGTGACGAAAACACGAGAAGGTGCGGATCCCGGTTATAGGGCTGCTACCGCGGTTGCTTATAATCGCTCCTTCTCGGCACTGGGCATCCACGATGGAGATCTTCTCATCCATGCTTCGCAGTGCTGCTTCCAGCTTCCTGTTGGAACTCCGTGGCTCGCCGCGGCTTACCAGCATGGTTTGCCCTCTGTTTTCACAAAAGACCTCTTTTAACAATGCACCTCCATGCTGGTAAGACTCAAACAACTCAAGAACCACATCATCACACATAATCCAATGATTCAGTTCATCTCTTTTCATGGGTGATGGTAGATGACCAGTTCCCTGCCCAACGACCTTGACTGCTCTCTGCCTGTCGAAGGTTCGGCAAACCTCGAAGTCCGCACTGATGCCTGGCATCCGCAGCTCTGGACACCATCTGCAGACCTCATACCACACCCTTCAAGGGGTGGTCCATGGACACCCCGAAGTACGGCTGATACAAATAGACACCCCTTGGAGGGTCCTGGTAAAAAGCATATATACCTATAAGGCTCCAAGACCTGCTCCAAGTACCTCCTGGCACCTACATAACAGGGTGGAACGCATCACCTTCTGAGAAGGTACGACCCGACGTGGTAACTTACCCCGTCGCACATGAACTTGACCCACCCCCATGGCACATCGCTTACCCCACGAATATAAGAACTTACCCCAAGGGCACACCTCATCTGGCACAAGTTCATGCCATTCGAGACAAGTTAACCCGAGCACCCAGTACTTGAAACTTTACAATATAGCGTAGTCATCCAAACGAGTACTGACGTAGAGTATGAATGATACGGAGAAATGCTAAATTAAAACAGAATGGGTCAGTGGCCAAGGGTCTTTGGGTATGGCACATGCTATCAATGTTTAGCATCGTTGCAATGTCATACAAATGACTTTGCAGGCGCACCAGTCTTTCAGGGTCTACGTTCAGTTCCTTTTCGCTGGCTTTCGCTGAAAGATTCCACCACATGCTCGCACGAGTTCAGAGGGCACCCGCCAATAGATATTCCTTCTAAGCAGTTCTCTACGTTCTCTTCACCCATCTCTCTACGTATACCGTATACTATACAATTACCACTGCACTCCACCCACTCCACACTCAACCCGCCGCCCCCACAACCCGCACGCACGCACCACACTCAACCCGCCCCCGCGCCGCGCCCAGCGCCGCTGCGCTGCGCCGCTGCGGTGCGCTCCGCGCCTTTCTTCATCTCGGTGAGCTCGGCCAAGGCCCGCGAGAGCCGCTCCAGCTGCGTGACCTGCTCCGCGTCCGCCAGCTTCAGCGCCTGACATCGGACCGGGCTCGGAGGGGGGTCGTTCGTCCTCGGTCGGTTGGTTGGAACGGGGGAGGAACGTGGAGGAACATCCTTGGAGGCATGGTTGGGAAGAAAGAATGACATGACAGTGATGGCATAGTGATGGCATGGGGTCCCATTTTTGGAGCCTTCACTGTTCTTTCTTACATTGCAGTTAGTTCCTGTCATCTTATTAAATGCCGTTGGAGGAACTTCAGAGTATGCCATGAACATCTATGAACCTATACGTACTGTACGCATCTCTCCGTTTCCCCGTGACCTGCCATCCATCCGTGCTCAAAGTCCACATGGGACTGGAAGAAGTACAATTTGGCCCCACGAACATGGACCCCATCTAAATGTTGGGTCTGTCCCATTACCAGCAACAGTGGATGATGATGGTTAGTAAAGGCCTTTCTTGAAAAAAGGCATAATCGTTGAGCGACTGTTTCCAGGACAAACAGACTAATCTATACTTAAAGTAATTAGCCTCTTCCAGTTCCCACCCGGAATGGTCAGGGCATGGAGTCCTGCATCTCAGAAAAAAAAACGCCGATGCGGTGCATGCAGTTCATAAGAGCACCTATCGATCCATATCACCCTTTTTAAGGGCGACCGTGTGGACCGGGATCGCTCCTGCAGATCGCTGGCCATGTCCAAGGTCTGTCTCTTCAGCAGCTCCTGGAGGCCACTCCCCAAGCGAGAATCGCTGACAGCGGAATGGCTGGAAGCTTGTGAGGACCCAACAGAGGTTGAAGAACCCTTGAGACTATGCAAGTGGGGTACCCCAGGTGACGGGTCCTATAAGATCACTTACGACCTCTCTTGGTAGGGTGGTGCAACACTTCCACCATGTTCGATGTCAGCTCATCATCTTCGCCCACAAAACCCGGTATCCTCCAGCGCAGTGCGCAGGTGCTTTTTCGGGGAAGGTCCAAAAAAGGGTGGGGGAATGTGGGGGATACACTCTGATTGACTAACATGCAATGCAGTGGAAATTGGCCATTTCCCTGCAACCGAACTAAAAAAGGTAGGCGATTCTGACATGGCGATTCGTCGTCTCAGCGGCCTGCAACCGAACTAGAAAAGTAGGCGATTCATGGCGATTCTGACATTCTCCAGCGGCCTGTGTCGTCTCCAGACTTTCCTTCTGCTTCTTGAGCTCAGATACTTCATCTTTTTGACTTCGACCATCCTGCCAGGAAGTTCTTGGATGCGGAAGAAAAGCGGCACGAACGCTTTGGTTTGGGCTATCCAAGATTGCAGGACCTGACAAATCCGTGACATGTTTTGAAGGTCTGACCGGGCCGAGCCCCACCCAGCGGCCACCGTTGGGGCGGTCCTTTTCGATGCTCCTCGTCTCTTGGCGAAGTTGCGTCACCAGCTCCTGGGACCGAAGAGAGGAACCGACAACCGAAGAAGGCACGAAGGCACCACGACCTGTCGATTGACATACCTGGGACCTTCCTTTCGGGGTAAGACATCCCTAAGATTCCCGGATAGTAGTGCAATGGGGGGGCAACGAACCAGCCAGGTGACCCCTCTTTCAGGAAGGTGCTGGCTGCTGATGTTTTATTGAAATTCCACTGCTGTGGCCGCTGTGTGCCGTGGCATTCACCAGACCGAAGGGACTGGATTTGGTTTACCGAAGGGACTGGACCCCTGAAATCCACCACCGCAACCGATCAGCATGTCTGGGAAAGGAACAAAAGAAATGGACACTCGGCCTGCGGCAAACACTTACTATTGCCGTTGCATGACATGGATGCAGGACCATACAACAGGATACATATCAATTGACACATGTCATCATGTTGGAGTTTCGGTGTTGTCAAGCGACTGGGTCTGGAATCTTTCTTGGTCATGTAACAGCGTGGCGAAACTGATTTCATGGCATTCCTCTCCATGCGGTTCGAACCCTTGGAGCACATTTCTGGGTCCATCAATGTTCCTAGGATCACCCCGTCTGACAGGCTTGTCCATGTTCAAAGCAGCTCCAGGCTGGAACTTCTTTAAAAAATAGCGGCTGTCATGCACCAAGTGCGAATAGATCATTACATCAGTATTATAGAGCATTGAAACAAGCCACTTGAAAACATGACATGGAACAAACATGAATGAATAAGCCACTTCAATTAGTTTGGGTATACAGTATCTGCTTTCCATGGGAGATCAGTGTTTGAGAGATGGCGATGCGAAAAGGGCGCTATTTAACCGCAAAAGTGAGCTGGGTAACCAACGGGGGTGAGGGTGAAGGACAGTGAAGCTCCGCCTCCATCCCGCGCAATCATGTTCAAATCTAAATGGGTATCTTAATAGGGGGACCTCCCGACCACAGGATGTTGTATGGATGTGTTTATTATTTTTTTCCCCAGGGTCTTTCGGAGGTCTCCCTACTATTTTAAGACACACCCAAATCATTACAGAGTCCAATTTTCCATGATGTGCGCGTCCTGAATCCTGCCAAGTTATGGCGAGTGATCTTCTTAGTGCGCTTGTCTTTTTACTGGGTGCCAGGCCAAATCGAACACGTGCCAACGTAAGCGAAGAAAAGACTTGATCAAATCATTCGAACAGCAACCACAAACCACATCTTCCGAACCGCCGAACCGCGGATCGCGCAGGCGAAAGGGGTGCGCCTTGATCTCGGAGTGGCGATTCTCCAAGAGGTCCTTGCATTGCAAGGCCGTCTTCTCCGTGACCTCGCGCACGAAGCTTTTCATCTCCGAGGTGCCTGCGGCGTAAGACCCCAAGCCTCCAAGCCCAGGGGGTCACTCATCAGGCTCTTGGGGATCTTGAATTGGACAGAATGGCTTTGACCTTGAGTCCCTTATCCCTGCCGGATCCACATGCTTGTACCTTCTAAGATCTGAGAAGGTGATTGGAGAGAATTTATGTAGGGGCCCAAGTGCCTTTCTGAGGAGGTGTGTGGAGAGCTTCAACGGTAGACTGAAGAGACTCACTCTCTCAAGTGCAGCTCATGCTGATGGACCACCAATGCATCACTTGCATCCACTGCAACTGTAGCTGTGAAGTTTTGGAGATGATGATTCTCTGCGCTGCTGGACTGTGTTGTTGTCCACAGTGCTATCATATCAAGCTGCTGACCCTTGCCACCTTCATTCAAATAGTGGGGGGAAGACCAATCCAATAGTCATGGTTGTAAAATCATGGTTCCAATTTTCTTCATTCATAGTGGCATAGTGGTTGTAAATCCTGGACAATCTGGGGTATCCTTTCACTGACAGTTTGCAACCCCTTTCCTATCATCAAAATGGACTCTTTTGGCAGAACCTGTAAGTGTAGAATGCTAGCTCTATCTACATCAGCGATTCGTATCAGTCCGACTATTAATGTATTTCCCAGCAAAATAGCAAGGCCTTTGCTTAAACGACACATAGACTTTGAACCTAAGATCGGTTGATAGTTGATAGTTGACAAAACATGATTTAACCCCAAAAAATTGTGGAGAACTTGCAAGCTTGCGGACTGTGGTGAGAGCGAACGCCTGCCAATGCATGCACTAACCACGTATTTACCACGTATTCCGGTACAGTAGAAAGGTCCGCTTAACACACAACAGACCCCTTACACTCGTGCCCATTTGTCCGCCTTCTAGTACAGCAAACCCTGGCTCCGCCACACCGTTCACCCCACCCTTCTGCCCTCCGTCTCCGACGACACGCGACTCACGGCCTTCGGCGCATTGGGAGGTCATGACCGCCATCCGTTCGAAGCGAGCGTCGACACGGCGGACCGCTTCCTCCAGTTGCCTGAAGACGTGATGGCGCGTGGCGCGGTTCGGCCCGTTTTCCACCACGCAAGCGCGGTTTTTGGCTGGGGGGGATGGGAGTATAGTGAGCCAGAAGAGCTACATAGAGCTACCTATATAAGCTGATGGCGAAAAGAATCGCAGGAGGTCCTTTGCTTCTGCAAAGGCCTTATCCTTGCTGGTGGCACATGCGGATCCCCTTGGAGGGTTCCTGTACACTGTACATGTACCCCCCCAGAGTAGAAAAGTAACACAACCTCTCCCTCCCTTCACAGAAATCCAATCCATTCCATTCCAATCCATCTGGGACCCATCCACACCCCTTCTCTGGCCGTCCACTCGGCCATCCGCAAACCATCGCTCGCCTGTGGCAGCTCTCAATGCCAGCCGTTGATCCTGCGGACTGTGGCCGCTTAGTCCTACTACAGTGACTGGTTCCTGGTGATGGTTTTGCTGTTCATCCTAGTCCTGGAGGTTATTCTTTTCACATGGCCTTTTGCTGCACATCTCATGGTTAAAGAACCCCGCCGTAACATATGCTCTAAAAGGTCACTCTGAGGATATGACCCTGGAGATCCCAAATACCCAAACCGATCATAAGTAAATATGGCCTACATGACTCCTGGTTTGGGGTGGCTTTGGCCACATCACGGATCGTTTGGGATCTGTTTCTTTTTTCGTTTTGGGGTTTACGCCACCCAGTCTTCTGGGTGCGCCCGGTGCATTCGCCTTGTGGGGATGCCGTTTGGCCTACCCCTACAATTCGAAGCACCTAATTGATTGAATAGCCTGTACTGAACCACCATCGTTTGAATTCGACACTACAAGACCAGGTCAAGCAATGAATTAACATGGTCTTCTCGGAAGGCTGTCGGGCCTTTGTCGGGCCTGCGCCTGCGCCTGCTGTCGAGCTCGGAAGCACCCCAAACCTGCTCCCGTCGGCTCTCCTCGACTGCTCTCGCCCAACTCCGCACACGTCTTCGCGAGTTGCTGCAGCTGCTGCAGCTGCTCGCTGTCACTGGCACGCAGTGCCTGGATGCACCCCAACGGGCTTGCTGGATCCACATGAATGAACTGATTGCTTGGACGAGGCTCTAGGATTGCCAAAAAAGACTCATATTGAAGTCATATTGATCAATCTACAATGATCTACAGCAACTGGATGCACCTGCCATAAATTTCCCTTGTGGCTTTCCTTCATTAACAGAGATGCTTGTAGAATGCTTTAGAGGCCATGGCTGAAAAACAGGCATGCGGCATGCACAATACTAGTAACTAGTAGACACTGCCAGCAAGGGCTCATGGAACGCGACGTGACATGGAAAAAAGAACGCCCCAATGTAACGTCTGCATGGAGTGACCCCAAAATAGCCCCAAAATCGATAGAATATGCATAGAATATGCATAGAATCATGAATCTCCTTCAAACATGTCAGGTCCTGGCCTGACATGTTAGAATCCTTGTTCGTCTCATCCTGCTGTGGTGATGTGACAGGGGCACCATGGGGCACCTGTACTCCTTCCTCCTTCCTCTGTTCGGAACCGGCTCCCCGAGCGACCTGTGACTCCCCAAACATACCCCATCCACGCAACTGGCCTGTGTAACAACGGAGTGGTGAGAAGGGGCCCATGGAGTGGTCACTGGGGTGGTCACTAGAGGTGGTCTGGGTGACCTCCAACTTCTTCGGTCGATCGAAAGGCCTCCAACTTCACGGAGCCCTCTCCGAAGCGCTGCTCGACCAGCTCCTAGCAGCAGCAGCAGCAGCAGCAGCAGCATGAGCAGCAGCCCAGGAGGGTTCCCGAGCTGACGGTCGCCGGACGGTCTCTTTCTTTGTCCGCATCGAATTTTGATCCTGAATCTCTAATCTCAGTGCAGGTTCAAGATGTAATTTTAGTAGATCAAATATAGACACAAACAATGATAGGATCATCTATGAATCTATCCACTGATCCATCCTTTTCCATCCATTCAGTTCAGCGGTCCTTCCTTAATTCAGCTCTCCATCGGTTCCACACCACGACGGCCGAAGCCTCCAGCCGACTCCCCTCTAGGGCTGTCCTTCAACTCCACGCTGCGGCTCTCCAGTTGTTCCCGCGCACGCGTCGCCCCTTTCTCTGCCATGGACTTCGCCTCCACCACGCCTGGGCACCCCGCTGAGCCGGACACGCGGAGCGATGCGAAAAGGTGTGGCTGCGAGCGGGTCCGGGGCGGTCCCAACGTCGGGTTGGGTTGGGAGGCCAACGTCAAAGCAGTTTGGAAGGTCCAACGTTGTGCGTCTTTGAATCCATCTACTAGGCGGTCCTGGAGTTCAGCAGGCCGCAAGCTCTTTCTTGGTTGGTATCCGATGCTCCTTCCTTGTTTGCGACCAATGAGGTGAACCTTGTCGAAAGTGACAAAGCCAAAGCTCCTATACCAGGACCTTCCAACAGGTGGTTTCTGGGCACCTGTTGCTACCAGGAAACACCTGTAGGATCCATTGGAAGGTCCTATATTTCTGGGCTCTCTATCCTAATGTCTAGTCTAGTCTATTCTTGAGATCCCCTTTTCTGTGGAAAATCTCAGCTGTCGAAAAGGGCAACCTGAGTTTCTACAGCTCATCTGGACGGCATCCGCGATTAGTGATGCCTTTTGTTGCTAGTAACGGTGCCCTTGTTCCTAGTAGCTTCAAGCAGCTTCTTGTTACTAGCAGCTACTACTAGTAGCAGTCCAGGCCTTGCAGAGCTTGCGTCAGCTGCACGCCCTGCCCCCGAAGGGTGTCTTCCAACTGCCTGTCCGGCGCCCAGATCATCCCCCGACTTGGACTCCTCTTTCTTCCGATTTAGGGGTGAAACCAAACCCTACAAGTCCAGTCTGACCCAGTAAGACCTTGTCTTTTACCTCCTTAAGTATTGGTTTTGTATGACCATCTCCAGTAAAATTAGGTTTTTGACTTGTAGGGAAATAAACAAAGCTTCGGCAGCTGGATATGCCATGGACTTCGCCAAGGCCAGTTCCAGCTTTTGACCCCGCCTGCCGCTCGCCCGCAACTGCTCCACGTCCGACAGCAGGCCTAACAAAGATACAATCAAGATCAGGAATTAAGACATAACCAGCAAACCACCAAATCCGAATTCATAGGCCTGCTTTGGGAAGTAGATAGAACAGGTCAACTAGCAAACCAGAAAACGTCCACCGACCACCTCTGAGGTGGGTGGTGGAAGCTTGCCCCTCTTTTTCCTGTCCCAACTGCTCCACTTCCGCCGAAGGAAGTCAGAGGTCCGGAGAGTTCTTTCTTCACCCGGGTCGAACTGCCCCCCGAAACCTCAACCCACCCCGGGTCAATCAACCGCCCCCCTGGCCGGGAGTTTCAATGCCAGAGCGGTCGCGTCTGGGTCAACATGTTTGTTGACAGCCTAGAGATGAAACCTATATTTGGACCTAGTGATCCAAAGACCTTATCAAATGGCGTTTGGACCCGCAAAGCCTACATAAATGTGTCTCCGTCCTCGTACCTCAGAGTATGTGGATCCATAGTGTGGGACTGAGTGGGACATGAGAGCCAGCTCGGGCTTTATCTTGGTTGTCTCCCAAAACTGAACCACTTGTCGGGTGTTACTGAGGCACTTCTCACCGAAACAGAATGCTGCGTTCAAAATGATAGCAAATTATATAAAAATACAACCAGACCGTCCTTTTTAAATGAATCCTGATGTCAAACTAGCTATGGAAGCCCAAGAACCGGTTATGACCGGTTCCACCGGGTTTCCTTTCGGAAAGACATCAACTACCATCGAATGCTTCCAATCAGCGCGGCCTTTGCGCTGCTCGAGGAGCTGCTCCAGTTGCTGATGATGCTCATTGCTGGAGAGCTTCAGTGCCTGGCGCTCGACACATCAGGAGGCACACAGGTCACGTCTGACACGTCGTCGAAGTCTTTGATGTCTTGATCTCAGACAAAACAACTGAAGATCTTGGTCTCAATTCTAAATCATTAATCACTAAGCTGTTGGTCTTCCCCGAACTGGTCGTCTCGAAGTGTTTGCATCTAATATCATTATAATAGCTGAACTGGTCTTCCGCGTCGGAATTCAGGAAAGTCGTGCATCTGTTTCCCTCTGTTCATGTGTTTCTTCAACTGCATTGAACCTCTCCCGATTGACTCGCCCCGTTTGCAGATGTCCTGGGAACTGCTAGGCCTCATCTGAAAGGTGATCAATCAAGATTCAAAGCAGTCAAAAATAGAGCTGCATATCATTTCGTTGCTTTCTTGGTGCATGTTCGCACCTTGTCTGCATCTTCCATATAGCATGTCAGTATGATGTTCACACTCTCCGTCCCTTTGTGCCTCCACTTTGGGCACCATCTCTCCCATTTTGCGATCCATCTGCTCCTGGACCGTTTTACTGACCGCCCAGAAGGGTCTTGGGGTTCCAACGAAAGAAACGACCTGAACGGCGATGAGGACCGGAGGCCGCAACAAAGGTGGAAGAATGGAACCCGCCCCGCAAAAAGCCATCAGCTTCGTTCGCTGAACGGAGAAAAAGAAAAAAAGCCAACGACTTGTGAGTCGATTCTCGATGTATGCCATCTTTGGCGTGGAGCCCCCGAACCACCCCCTAGCCTGACAAGTGTCTTCAACACAAAAAGAATTGTCAGTGGGGATCAATAAAAATTCAATAAAAAGGATTAACAAAAAAGAACACGATCTGAAACCACCACCCAAATGCCATCTGCTCACCTTCACCACCCTCACCCCAACGGCGAGGTCGATCTAACCAAAGAGCCAAAAAGGGGATGGGCCTACCCAAACATGGAAGTCCGAGCTTTGTTTGCTGAAATCGATGGCCATCTTATAAAGGTTTCGACTTGATGCATTCTGGACATATTCTGGAACCTCAAAGTCCTCAAAGTACCGAAAATGGGACCTGACCCGACAAAAAGAGGTACGACTGTACCCATTTTCCGAGGTACGAACGGGTCGACTCCAGGTTTCTAGAACAACCACATATATATATATATAAGGTCCCCAGAATAACCGCCATTATATGTGCGACGGCATTTATTTTAGCTCAAATACACTATCTCTTATGTGGGGGCCCTATCTCGTTTAGACTACTTAAGCGGGAGGTCATGTCACAGTATCTCGTTCACACTACTTGCAAATCACACTATCTCGTTCAGACTACTTTAGTGACATCAAGCAAACGTATTCTCGTCTATATGGGGCCCCTATCTCGTTCACAAGCGAATAGTGATGATAAACTATCAAATAGAACATGCCGCATGCCGTAGACTACTTTTGTAAAGCCTAAATAAACGTCGTTGCTCATATACAGGTCACTATACAGGTCTCTCTGACGGCTATAGGTTTGAAGGGTTTTTGGTCAGGTCGTGACACGCCTCGGGTATGCCTCCAGGTCGTTTACCTCAAAAACCACTGGGTTGGTATTTGGAACGTTTGGAAAGTGGGCAAGACCACTGGTCAATTATCAGGTTCCATGTTAGTTTGGTGGGGGATATCATCCTGAAAAACCACGGCTTAAAAATCCCGGGGCAATCCTTTTTTCACCTCCTATTTGTATAGTTCTCTTTTCCTCACCTGTTCCTCTCTTTTCCTCACCTGTTCCATTGTTTCCATTGTTTCCGAAGCTGGTCACTCACAACAATTATCTAAAACCACCCATCCAGATCTAACCCCAAAACCAACTACTATATCTCCACACTGACTCCACCCAGTCTCTCACCACACTCACTCCACCCCTACACCACATCTCTCTCTCCCCCCAAAAAGAACAGGCAACCACTCTGGCCCCCCCCCTTCCGCTCGCGTCCCACGTGTCTTCGCGGGTCCTTCAGCTCGCCGCTGCGGAGCTCCAGCAGCTCCCGGCCCTGCGCGAAGGCCTCGTTGCGGGCTTTGTCGGCCGCCGCCTGTGCGAAGGCCTTCACGTCCACCACGCCTCGCAGGGCGAAGGTCGGAGGGCGGTGTCCGGAAGCGCCAAGCAAAGGCGGGTCATGTTTGGGAGACTTTGGATGTTTGTTCCCATAGCTGCAAGCTACAGGGGTTCTTACTTCTCAATGTTGTGGCTATGGATCGACGTTTTGTTCTGTCCATGCTGGTGTTGGGGTATATGCCGGTGTAATGTTTGTTTGCAGTGGTCTCAAATGTGTTCTAAGCTCTAAAATCTCTAATCAGGGGAAAGTAGTGTTAATGAATGTTAATGATGTAGGTGAACAATCAAATTATGTTAAATCAATGTTAAATCAGTATCCAAATTACTCAATGTCCGCCTGCTATAACATCAGATCACAATGTCCACCTCCGCAAAGTAACACCCCCAAGTTCCAACTGCACCACATCCAAACTGCGCAGAACCTGCGCTTCATCAAACTGGCCATGCCGTGCCTCCCGAGCATTGAGCTGCCACGGAGGAGACGGATTCTAATCGTGCATCCACGCGATGCAGGGCGTCTTCCAACTGCCTGATGAGCTGTGCACCGAGCGATAAAGCTTGGGACTGGAAAAACACATGCCGCCCCAAGGGCAGACCCGCCTGGCACCACCTAAATGCCATATATTATATATTACAGTCCCATGGGTCGCGTCTGGGTGCATGTTTCATGCATATTTCTCTACATTGACCATCATTGACCCGTTCAACCACTCCAACTGATCGGTGAAACATCTTCCCATCGTTTCGGTGAAGGTGGGACGATCGGGGCCCGGGTGCCATGTTCGGGTCCAAACACCTTCGAAACGAAGGTACGACTGGAGGTTTCGGGACATGCATGAAGACTCTCAGACTGGTTTGGCCGTTGCAGCATGGCCTCTGGATCAAGCGGCAGTTTTCCACTTCGGTGACCATGCCTATAGCAATGGAAGGGCGCGTCGGATCAGTGGAAGGCGATGGGTCACCGGTCTGAGTCTGCACTGAAAAGGCATGGAGGTTTCGTTATATACAGGAAACAGTTCTGCAGGTTCCACATCAGTCTCCAAGGGAAGTCGAAGGTCAAATTCATCCATTTTATGCGATGGATTCTAAGAGTCAGAGTCCACTACCGCTACCTTCAGAGTCAGCACATATTATAGTAAGATAATGCAAGATTCATGCCGCCCATTTCTCACTGCACTCCAACCACAAACTCATAATACATCTCAATCCCCTACTAGTAATCCCAAAGGATCCACATACCTTTTTAGAAGGTACGACTGGGCTTTCCTGGCGCCTACATCAATACTCTCCAATCATGAATCCCCATCTCCATTCGTTCCATATGTTCGTCCCATATCACTCACATTCACTCACCCTCTCTCTCTCTCTGTCTCTCTCTTCCCCAAAAGAACCGCCAACCCTTTACGCTCCTCACCCCGGCCCCTTCCTCCGCCTTTCTCGGCCCGTCTCGCCATGTCTCGCCTTTGCGCGCTTCGGAGAGCTCGCTGCAGACCTTGGAGACGCGTTCCAACTGTTGGCCGCGCTCCACCACCAGCACCTGCAAGGCCTCCATCCGCTCCGCTCCACCGCACCGACCGGTACCGAGAGGTGTGGACCCGGAACCCGGGACTGAATGAGTGAGGAGGATCTTGGACCGGTGTGGACCGGGGGTATGGGTGATCTGTGGTATCGTGATGCGTGTGTTGAAAGGTAGACCTGCCGTGGGGCAGTGACAGGTGACAAGGAGTTGTTGAGCATTGGGAGTTGTTTAAGAATTTGGTGAACACAAAAGGCACCGTAGGGGTTGTGGTGGCTGAAACTCAGATCCAGCGCCAGGAGATGGGGTGCCTCCAGGAATCCAAGCTGATGTTGTCTCATTTGCACTCACCGCAGTTGGAGGGGTTGAGACTCGACGCAGTTGGAGCGACCTGAAGAAACTATCACGTTCCAAAGGTGGTTTCGCTTCTACTGAGGCTGCGTTTTTGGGGGTGTCCAGCTTCGTTTTCCCGGGATTTGCACCAGTTAGGCTTCGTTTTCCAAGTCTTGGACATATCTGGTGACCTGGTGGAAGCGCCAGCGCGCAGGCGCAAGCGCTCGCGCTCGCGCTCCTCGCTTCCAGCGGGTGACCTGGACCTGGATCACTAACTACCTTTTTCTCTTGATAATAAGCTTATTAGGCCTCTTAGGCGTCCATCAGCGTTTTTCAACGCGCATCTGGACTTCCTCCTCGCCTGCAAAGCGGCGGACGACTCGCTCCCTTGGCGCTCCAACTGCTCCTGGAAACCCAAAGGGTCCGGATTCTGGACCCGAATCCTCGAATTTTCGGGGTGTTTGGACCTTCTCACCAATCCCTATGGTTTGGAGGGACCGGGAAAGGCTTGTGAACTCACGGAGTGTCTGGGTGAGGCCTCCCAACACGTTCTTATCAGATGTTCACTTTCAACAACCAGGCATTGCCAAACACTCAAAGACCCCGAGAGCTTTCAGGAAAAAACACGTGCAAATCTGAAAACTCACCGTTTTCCACATAGATTTTTGAGGACAAGAAAACGATAGAAAACGCCATGGCCATGCCACTCTCCAGCCCAAGGTCCACAAGGATGCTTCCAGTGTGTTTGTGACCTTTTGCAACCCTGTCCTCATGCAAACCATTGAAAAGCTATCCCTTCTTGAGTCCCCCAAACCCACCTACAGCCATTCCCCCCCCCCACAAGTGACCCGCCCGGCGCGGAGTCCCGACGGTCGGAGTCCCGGCTCCTGTCGCCGGAACTGCGCTTCCACCGAGCGTCTCAGGTCCCCGTGTCCTGCCTGGCGGTCGGGAGCGTACCGGTCTTGTCGGAACATGAACAGAGACGACCTGACATGGTCCACCAAGGGTGAGTGAAAGGAACTTTCCATGTACAGCGGATTCGGATTGGGGCGCCGACCTGCGATTCTATGCCACAAAGGTCCAGGGAGTTGCTAAGTTAGCTAACTACCACAAGCCTCCGTTTAGAAACCCCCACTTGGATCAAGAAGGCACGCGGGATCATCTGGGACGACACCCATCCCCATGTGCGATCCAGGTGCGCCATCCTCCACGAACGGTGCGCCAGGTCGCGTGGGAGGAATGGTGTCGTTCACCCCACGCTTTCACAACGAAACGCAGCGTCTTCAGCCTAGAAAAGCTTCACCACCCCCCAAACATCACCGGGCTTCAAACAAAAAAAACAACAAACCACGTGATGCGAAGTGCGAAAATCGGCGAAGCGAAGAAAAAAAGAAAACAAACGGCGAATCCATATCTGCGCGAATGACGCGAAGGCGGAAAAAGGTGTCTCCTGCAAGGACTCCACGGTGAGCTCTTGCTTCCGAGCCAACTGAGCCAAGGCATCACCCTGAGCCTTCACCTCCTAAAGGCGGTCGTTGGATTCGATGAAGGGGGTGGCTGGGAGGAGCAGTGCAACTGCGCAACGTGGCCGCGGGAAAGCGCAACGCAACTTGCGGCAAAGTGGAATCCTCAGGGGGCCTTGACATCGGATCTGACTTCTGTTAGTTCAAACTTCCAAACCACCAGCCAGCAGTCACAGAGCTCGGGGTGGTGTGGCTCGTCCCAGCCAGGGGCTGTAGAGTAGCTGGGCACCCCTTTTTTTCCCTCAGTTCGCCCACCCCGTCGAACGTGACTCCAAACCACATGACGTGGCCAAACCAGTCCTTAGCCGTGTTGCTGCTGAGCTCCTCTCGATGCTTCAGCTGCTCCTGGTGCTGTCCATACCAGAGACCGAGCGACAACAGACCCTGCTGCTCTGCGTCCGCACAAAAAGCCACAACGCACTGAGAATCCTCAGCTCTACGAGGAAAGCAGAGCTAACCATGGAGCTCGAAGAGTTACATGGATGTCATTTCCATAGGGGTCAAAAAGAGAGAAGACCTCACCTTCACAAACTCCGCGAGTTTTGGGCGTCACACAAACCCGCCGGCGTTTCAGAGGAAAGGCCAACGGTGTCTCCTTGAGCTCGCGGATGCGGAGCTCCAGTAGCTCGGTGCATTGCAGTTGTGCCTTCTCGGTGTTCTGCTGTGCCAAGGTCTTCTGCTCATTCAGACCTGAGGTGAGTTGGTGAGGACTTGGTGAGACTTTGTGAGAACTTGGTGAGGGACAAGATCGGGGAGGTGTATGCGGTGGGGTGATGGTGGGATGATGTTTCACGAAGGAAGGAGTTCCCTTTTGTATGGGACGGCACGTGGGATACAACATAAAAAGAACCAAGTGGTTAACCGGTTGGTTCCCAAACAAATGGATCTGGGACTGCCATAGGACTGCCGATCAGGCCAGGGGTGGTGCCAGGGGGTCTGGCTGGGGCGGCAGTCCTATGGCAGTTCCATGAGTCGTGTCGGATGAGAAGCTCAAGCGTTAGACTGGTCGTGGCTGGTACCCCCTTGGAAAGGACTTACCCTGCAAACAAGGTGTTTTTAAGACCAACGACATTTCCACACATAACATGCCTAAACCAGCATAACATGCCTAAACCAGCCCATAGGAGACGCAAATGAGCTTATGGCCTGCGGAGCTCAGCCAACATTTATCTCCGAAAAAACAAATGAAACCCTCGCCTTCGGAGCACTGCGTGGTCACGGAAGAGAGCCGCTCCACGCGGTTCTCCATTCGCCGGAGGCTCTCTTCAAGCTTCCTGGCCGAAATGCAGCCGCTCATGTGTGCAAAACCACGAACTCTCAGGGTGGCTGACACTCGCAAGAACCGTCCCAACACTTAAACGTGGTTGCTCCACCATGGTCTAGATGTGTTACAGTATACACATCAACATTGACTGTGTGTTAAGAAAACAACAACATTCAGCTGCATGTGAATTCGCTTCCAGGAATTGAGTGGAACCCAGTACATGCTGGAAACCCCAAACAACAATGTAGAATCATCTGTTGGAAAGTCTCTGCAGCATCCCTATAGCCTTCAGTTCGACCAATTAACAACTGGCTGACCTGTTTAGCAGCTGGTTTTTTTCAGGATTGGGCCCCTACTAATTCAATGGGGGGGGCACTCCTGGAGGTGGCATTTTTTTACGAAAGAAACACAGATCTCCCCTCCCCTCGCCCACTGATACCTCGAGTGCCGATTTCTGAGGTTCCCCACCGGTCACTGGATTGGCAACTTTCAACTTCGGCGAACATGCCTCGCAAGCGAAGTTCAGTGAACGAGCAAGAGGGCCTAAAGGCTCGCAAAAGGATGTGAAAGAACGGCCCCAGCGATAGCAATTGGAAGATTGAGTCTGAAGATGCCGTTGTTGAATGAGATCAAATCATGAGGGCTAGAGTGATTGGTGCAAACCAACTCAAAACAATATACGTACCTTTCCCAAATAGACTTTTTAGCCAGCCGCAAGCCACAAACTTGTCTCTCAAACCATCTCAAACTTCAAAGTGACAGGATGCATCGTCGACCCTAAATTGTCCATTTCACTTAAGAAACACCTATACGCTTCAAAGCTCTTGTACTGACATGTTAACAAATCTCAAACCTCCAGAATCCATGATTGCGCATGAACATAAATATTCATGACTTGTCCGAAAGAAAAACATCATGGTTGAAACATGTTGAACAGCATGGCTGCATGGCTGCTTGGCCAGCGTTCCCTGCCTTTTTCTTTCATCTATTCCACGCCGGTCACTCACCACACGGCCCCTCTGGCCCCTCTCCGGCCTCGGCGAGCTTCGGAGAGCTCCGCCAGGGCGCGCGAGAGGAAGTCCAGCTGCTGGTGACACTCGTTGTTCGACACCTTGAGGACCTGGCCAGCCACCCGAGCCACGCGCCAATGGTCATGATTTATAGCATGTTGACCCCTATTTTGTAAGGCGGTGCAATGCTTCACCCAGTTTGGGCCGGTATAAACAGGATGTTTTCCCAGTCATAGTCACCCAAAGACCATCAGGACACGAGAAATTGTGTACAGTCGCCAGTAGTGGTGGATTATGACTTCCAAGTGGGGTAGCTTAGGAGTCAGGTCCTGGAAGTGTGTGTGTGTGTGTGTGTGTTGTGTGTGTTGTGTGTTGGCTATATGCCTATATAGCCGCTGCCCATTTTTGGCTGATGTCCTCAGGATGAGCTTTCGATTCTCAGCGGTGGCCTTGGAAAGAGAAGCATGAGAAGCACCAGGTACGTCCTGACCCTCCCCACCAGGTACTTCATGCACCCCATGGGACTGGAATAGTGCTACATACCTCGATGGTCTGGGCGGCGGTTGCTCGGCTCTAACGACAGCGATGGCGGCCTCGCCTCCATCTTCGAGATGGCCTCGGCGGCTTGTTGCTCGAGCAGCTCCTGCAGCGACCAGCTCTCGAAGGCGAGGAACCAGCTGCAACCGGGTGTGAGGACTGAACTCGATACACTCAGAGGACCAAAACGCGTGGCTCGGCTGCTTGCATGGGTGCATGTTTTAAATGTGCAAAGTAACTAATGGGCCTCAACATCATACAAAGATACAACACAACACAAATAAACAACAAAGAGATCAACATAGATCAAAGTATTTTTACAAAACTTATTAATACAAAACGGAGGTCCAACTCTCTGACTCTGATGTCGTAGTTTGTGTTTTGTTCTCCCCAGATCGCCCCAGATGCCTTCATCTCCAAACTACGGTTTTCCAGCAGCTCGCCGCACTGCGCCAGCACTTTCTCCGAGAGCTCCCGCGCGAAGCCTTTCGCATCGGCCACACCTGCCCGGTCTGTGGCATGGCTCAGCCGCGAAACGCCCTGAGCCCTGAGGAAGACTGGGCAACGTAAAACCCTTCACCACCCAAAAGCTGATTTTCTGAGATGATGGGTGATATATGAGTACTATTCATTGCAAGAGAGTTTGATTGAGATATGTCATATATGTTCTGTTTTGTTTTGTGATATTCATTGGGGGAGAGTGTTGAAAATGCACTTCACCTCTGCCCAGGCGAGTGGCAGCCACTCTGGGCCATTTGATCCCTCAAGAGGTGATGGGGCGTATGGGGCGTATGGATGAGTTACAGGAGCTACAGCGGTTCCCTTCAGTTGAATATGGAAGCTCCCAAGAGTCAGAGCGAAAGAAATCCAAAACTATGGAGTTCGACATCAGTACCTTATATATATATATAGATATATATATACCTGGAGCCTGAGTGACCCCTGTTTTGGAGGATCAACTTCCAAAATATGGTCTTTTCCTATCAAAACAAAGGTCAGTCAGGCTCTAGGTATATATACCTCCTGAACCTGGTTCTTCAGTTCGTTTTGCGAACTTGGTCCACCGAACTTGGTTGCTGATTTTCGGTCACTAGGTCCGTGCCTTCGGAGCATTGCAGGGCCAGGGAGCTCGCACGTTCCACACGGCCGTCCAAGCGTCGCACTGCTTCTTCCAGCTGCCTGGACGCAGAGTCCGATGCCGGGCGATGCAGACGCGAGAGGAGCGTCTGAGGAGAGGAGGTGATGACCCGCTCTATATCGGTATACGATGGTATACGGAGTATACGGTCAAACGGGATGGTGAAAGACTTTGGTCTTGCTGGAGCTGGAGGGGTGACTTTCACTGGACGGTCTGCGCTGTGCGTGGCGGGAAGGAGGACATGGCCTGCTTCACGAGATAGCCCCTTAGAGGTTATAAGGGGTATTCCAAAACCCCAAAAACAACCTGTTGGAAGGTCCTGGTAGGTGTCGATCCATGTCACTATGCCATACAGGTCTATCAGTCATTCACCTCAACATCAGTCAACTCCCACCCTCGACGGATCGCACGTGGCGGACTTCTCAGCAGCGGCACCGGTGGATCTCTTCGAGGCTTCGTTGGGTACCGGTGGCGCTCTCCAAGAAAATCCGTGTTTTTGTTGGTCTCCACCAATGGATTCTGGTGATATTTTTGAGATCTTAATGTTTCTTCAAGAAGAAGAAGAAGTGTATTTCAAACCTCTTTTTCCGGGGTCTTCCAGGCACATGGTTATCCAGTTATCCATGTGCTTCAGAAAACGTCTGGTTTTGCCATGACTCTCACCATGCGGCGGGGAGCCGGCTTAGCGGTTCCACTTCGACGTCCTTCGACCGTCGCCTGTCGATGGAATGGCAGCTGTCCACTTCAGCCACGATGCCTCGAAAGGGCGCAGGTGGACGGAAAAATGGCTTCGAAACGGATAGATCCCAAGAGGAATTCCTATCGACCATGGGGACTGGAATAGAATTTCAATACATGGCTGGGTCATGGGTTAAATGTATGTAACATTAATGTAACTATTCCATCAAATGGATGGTCTGGGATCTGTAACCCAGCGGAACCTGCCATTGTGAAACATCAGCAAGTAGCACATGCTTGATTTTCTACATCCACACAAACAAACACTTTGCCCACTATCTCACTCGGTCACAAAATGAAACACGCGTATAGTTTTCATTGGTTTTTGCCTAAATCCAGTCACCATCCGACCGGAAAACTACTGATTCCAACCACTTCCCATCCCCTTCCAAAGCAATGCTCCACTCACTCTTCTCCCACATATACCCTCTTCATTCTGCCCTTTTTCCCTCCGAACCGAACCGAACCGAAGAAGGCGCGCGTCCGCACCGGTCTCCCCGGCCTTTCCGTGCTTCGGCCAGGCTGTCGCAGCTGCGACTGAGCTGTTCCAGCTGCCGTTGGCGCTCGGCGTCCGCCAAGCGCAAGGCCTGACAGGTGGCCTGACAGGTGGTCGTGGAGTCCGGTGGTGTGAGCCCGGTGTGGGCGGTGTGACTCGTGTGTCCGGAAGAACAAACGCATCCTGAGCAGCTTATAGCAGCCTAGCGTCTATGTTTCTCAGGCGTCTCTAATGGAAAGGTCCTACACCACACACCACTTAGTCCTTCTAAGGTGCTCTGTATGGAATACTCCACTTAGTGGACTTAGTGGATCTCTATTGAACATACCTTTCAAAGGTCCAGGGATCTTGTTTTTTTTACTGATGTTACTCTGCATAGTATTGTCATTGAAAGGGGCCTACGCCGTTGTCAATGTTGCTCCTTTTTTTAGACCCTTCCATATCCTTTCATCTCACAACAACTTAGCTCGTAGAATCCCTTGCAAGTCCGGGACAAACATATAAGACCTTATTTTCAGGGAGGACTCTGGTCCACTTCACTAATGAGAGCATCCCGAATGGTCGACATGGCACATGTGTCATGAGACGACATTAAGATTTCATGTCCATAGGTGGGCCCAGATATAATTTTTGTTTTATCTATTATTCTTTATGGCCAATCATTTTTTTGTAAGTTCTTCAATTAAAACATTGGCCATCCATAATTCTATTTTATGATTATATCTGTGCTTTTGGTCATTAAGAAATTCCAAGAGACCAACAGCATAAATGACGAATGAATAAATAATTGGGTTCCAAGATCTACTGCAAAATAGAATAACCCATGAATCCTGGAACTTGGAACCCAAAATCATCTTGTCCTTACGGTTGCTCCTATAATATAATTCATGGATAAAAGATATGGGAGCAACCGATGAATAATAATATGATGAAATTTCCATAAGACCAAAAGTAATAAATAATATAGGATTTTTCATATGTTATTTATTTATTCATGATGGCATTATTTTTGCCATAGAGATTTTAATGAACATAAAATAATGCCAACCAGATAATAAAAATATCATGAACATAATAGATTTCTGGCCTTTAACTTTACAATTTCTTTCATCATGTTAAAAGCCATTAAGAAATCTCATAAGCTGTGGGCAGCCCATTAATAAAAAAAGGGCATTTGTTTGTTGGGGCTGCCCCTGGGAATCCATCCCCTTTATATAAGTAGAAACGAACGGCGGGATGGATTCCTGGTCACATCTGGGCCCCTTCTTGGATCTGGGGCTTAGGTTGCTAGGTCCATGGCCGCCGTGTCTGACTGGGCCCCTTCTTGGATCTGGGGCGGGTGGAGGGATGAACGACGAACCGATACAAATGAAATGATGGTCTTTATCCCAAACATCTTTTGTTGAGATCAGTGAGGAGGGTGCCAACGGCCTGACAAGACCCTGAGCACCCTCACTGACTTGGGTGCCACAGGGAAGAGACAGATGGGCCCCTTCTTGGATCTGGGGCCTATGAACCTAAGGACTGTTAACGCCTGGTCTGGATTCTAAGAGCGTGTCCTTGCTTCCAAAAAGGGCAGGTGGTGAATCCCCAGACAAAGACCTACAAGCCAAGAATTTTATCATATTAAAATTATTGGCGGCCCACTCCGACCCACTCCCAAAAATTAAAAGATATGATTATCAATTTTTGGGCCTTACCTTCTCAAATGCAAAAATAGAATAAACTAAATATGTTTGCAAGGGCCCTGTCAAAGAGGGCAGAAGGACAGGGTACAGCATTATATTATTGAGGGTGAACATTGTTTTCATTTTCAGAGTTCACCCGATATAATATAATGATGATAGGGGCTTATTAATTATTGTTGTTCGTATCTTTTGTTTGTTTGGTGAGGAAGAAGCCAAGTGCGGTAAAATAATTAATGAGCTAATAAGTAACTTTCCCATTCACCATTTATTCTAATACAGATTTCTATGGAAATAAATGGTGAATGCAGATAAAAGAAAATACCAACAAAGATAATGAACACAATGGAGGGATTTCTTATCATTGGTCATTCATTGTTTATTGGTGTCCTCCTCTTTTTTTGCATGCCAAAGATCTTTTAATAAAAAAACAAAATGAAAGACAAGAAATCCCTGCCCTCGTTTCATTCTTTTGGGACACAAACGTCATTGGCAGCGAAATAGCATGGTGAACCCCTCCCGGCGACAAAGACCTCCGTCCAGCCCACGACTCTTCGCCTCCAGCTTGCCCGATGACTCATAGGTGCGCCGTTCCAACAGCTCCTACAAGATCTGAGAAGGAAGAGGTGAGGGCAACACCTGATATATCCTGTAGGTGCTAACACCATACACCTTGTTTTGAGGGCAACACTCGTAGGTGATCTGAGAGTGCTTTGGTCACATCGGATGTAGATGACATGAGGTCTTCTCCTACGTCGTTATGTGAGGCGTAGTACGTAAGGGAGTGGTTGTCTCATTTCATCTTATTTTTCGTATATCTCCTTTGGTATCTAACAAGGGGTCATAGGGTAAAGAGACTGGTAAAGATATATGTATTATTTTTGGGGAAGTCAGCTGGAGTCTGAAAGACATGCTAAGCCTGCAACTCAGGCAAGGACTGTGAAATCGTGTCCAGGATTCCAAAACCCTTAGTGTCACCACTGAGACCGGGACAAGTAGAAGAAAAACATCAGTACCAGCAGTTGGGGTGGTATATCAACCACCCTGACGATGTATGTTCCATCGAAAAAAACCGCCCGAACTGGGTGGTGCTGGTCCACTGGTAGTTGAGGGTGTATGTTCCATCACAATCCCATCTACAACCAATGCCTTTTTCTTCACGGTGTCTCTTGAACTTGCTTCGCATTGCCTGTCACATTGCCTGTCACATTGCTTGTCACATTGCTTGTTCACACAACATAGCCAAACATCAACAAGGACCGGTCCCAGCAAATTCAATGTGAGGTGCTGGGGGCGCCTCGTAGCTGCTAAGTCTTTCACTGCCTTCTCCATGGGAACTCTCACAACTTGTCCTGTACCATGGACCCAAAAGGAACCCCTTAACCTCTAAGGGGCTATTCATTGACAACCTTATTAAGGGGTCCATTGGTTGATGTTCCAGATCGATTCTGAGACTGACTGGCTTTCGTTTTATAAGTTGATTCAACAACGTGTTCAAATTAGTTTCCACTCTTCCCTGTTTTCGCTGCATCTCCTGCAGTTCGCTGGTGCGTTGCTGCAGTAGCTCGTGGCAGTGCAGCTGCGACTTCTCCACATCACGAGCGCGGGCTTTCACGTCCGCCACATCTGTTGCGGTGGTGAGACTTTCCACCGGTGGATCCAATGGAAGAAGTCATAATAGAGGAGAACTCTGCAAAGAAGGACTCCACCTGTGTATGATATGTGTATGTGTATAATTGTCTATAGATGATCCGTTCATCCCTTTTCAATTTAGGATTCCACCTCCGTGTCTCCCCATCACTGGAGGTTGTTTTCGTGAGAGTTCAAAGTTGACCCGGTGGCCTCGGGTTGAGACCACCCTTCGGCAGCGCGCTCTCCACTGGTCACCAGACATTCCCCCAAAACTCACTCAAATGGGACTGGATTTCATCAGATTCTAACATCCAGTGGAGTTTGGTGAATATCCATCGGAGCATTGTGAAACGAAGTATTCATTCAGGTCCATTCTCTAACACCTTCTCAATGGGACCGAAGAACAATTTCCGGACGCTCATCCATGAAATCCACCTAACATCAACCACCCGCCACCTCTTTCGCACTCACCCAAGTCGACCCGAGTCGACCCGAGAATCCACCCGAGTCGACCCGCGTCCGGTCGGCCCATACGGCGGGCCTTTGGAACAATGCGCCGCACTGGACGCGACCGCCTCGACGCGTGCGCCCAGGCTGCGCAGGTCTGCTTCCAACTGCCTCGATCGGGCGGCCGTTGGAAGGAGATGCGGCGTGGGCGGCCAGGAGATCTGGATCAACAGGGCGTGGGGATCAACTTGCGAGCAGACAACGGGTAACTCAAGTAAGAAACCCTTTGAAGTGCGGAACCCCTTGTCCGTATTCACGTCTGATCCTATTACTGTATAGTCGACTAATAGAGACATCCGCATGCAGGTGATTGGAATTAAACATGCGATACAGGTGCGATGAGCTTCGTTTGGTCAACTACAGTAAATAGCACTGGACCGCCCGCGGAAGAAAGGATGAACCCCTCTTCATGTCTGTTTTGGAAGGCAAACTTTACAATTCTAAGGGGATGACGAACGGTGTCACCACACAAAACATGGACCATCAAAGTCAACGACATGCTGCGGCATGCCATCCCACTGCCATGCCCATCAAATAGTGTACCACATCCACAGTATCCATACCCGCTTTGACCCCACGATCCACCAAACAGCTGACTCCCTCCCTTTCGCCCGGCATCTCGCCGTTTTGATCAGAGGAAACAAGTTCGGGTGAACCGAACAAACTCCACCGATCTTGTATTGGAGTGGGAGAACCAATATCCTCAAGGCAGGGTTTGATTCCATGCTTTGTTATTCCTTGCTATACTTTTCCCCAAATGGATGGTCTGGGGTGCTGCCCCAGCTTTGTCCACTCTTCGGACTATACTCACCTTCTGCCCCCACCCCTAACCACCCCAACGCACCGGCCCCGTCGGTCGCTTTTCGCTCCTTTGGCCCTGGTCGACCTGTCCGTCGTCGCTCCGTGGGCCTGGTGTTGGATTGACAGCCATCCACATCGGCCAGGACACCTGGCGCCGACGTCGAGCTACGCTTCTCGAACAGCGGAGCTGCGCGGAGCTGCGCGGAGCGAGCGACATGGAAGGAGGGAAGAACGAGATCCAGTGATCCACCTTTCAGCTTCCACCCCCGATCCGTCCCAAAAGGTTTGACCAAACATGCGAACCCAACACCGGACAGCGGTTGTCCACCTATACAGGTCTCATATGCGACACCCCAGTGGAAGCCGCTAGGCGGTCAGATCGGGAATTTCCGGACGCTCGCAGCTGTAGCACATTCCGCGCAGCACCAGGGACTTCACCAACTGGGCCAACTCCCCAACTCCGCGATGTCCGGAGACAAGACGCACCTCTACAATGGTCCAAACTCACCTGGCCCCGATCTTTATGGCACCCTGAAAGAGTGGATGGTTTTCAGAGTCCGTGTGGGTCTTCAGCGGGTAGATCACTGGAAATCCAAATCCAAAAGTCATGGCGATTGGTGAAAAAGCCACACTTAGAAGAGAAGACTGGAGAAGGAAATACCCAAATGACAAAAACACACATCGTCTGTTAGATTCTGTTAACATGTGGTACGTTTAAACCTTGAAAACATTTGGATGCCACATTAAAATTACACGAATGGCCCTGAGTGACAAAACAAAGGTCAGATCTGGGTTCTAGGTCCATCTTGTTAACTGATACCCAAAAGGCTCCATGACTGAATCCATGTATGCCGCCCCAGAAAGACTGTCCCAGTCCCAGATGGTGTCTGGACTCTGAAACGCTCCGGCCATGACCGGGCCGCCGAACAGGCCACAAACCGCGGGCCCGCCTTGCCGCGCTTCAGCCAGCTCGTGGCAGGTGTGAGTCAGCTGCTCCAGCTGGCAGTTGCGCTCCTGGTCCGCTGCCTGCAAGGCCTCGGGTCGTGCTGAACGGAGCTGAGCTGAGCGGAGCATCTGGGCGGCTTATGCAAGTGGTGCAAACGGTGCAGGCGTGATTTTTCTAGGTGAAACGCTCTTGGTCTGATCGCTCAATGTCTCTATATTGTATGTGATGGTTTGATTGCAAGTCTTGAAAACATGTGACTACTTACCCGGACCCTGCTAACTTAGACTTATAAACCTAGGTTATAACCTACCCTACCCCTAGACTTAGCCAAGCTTAGCTAAGCAGGGGTCCGGGTAAGTATGATTGCAAACAAGGATACCTGGTACCGGTACCTGGACCGGTCGTTACGGATTCCTTCCTGTCGTGAATCGCCAGATATCGCCGTTATCGTGGATCGAACCAAACCTCGAGTGCCGTTCCTGTCTCTGCGACTGGAAGAGATGCCGCCTCAGAATATAACAAGTGTCACCACCCTGGCCGGACGGCTCCTCTGGAGTCATACGCCAGGGGCCGGTTCTAGGTCGTGTCTGGGGTTTCGGACGTGTAGAATCCAAATGCCGTTCACCAAACATTCACCAAACATTCACCAAATACACCATATTTGGCAGTTCCAGATCAGAAAACAACGGATGCCTCCCAACTACATACGGATGCCGAAAACACCATGACCGCCCCCGTCAGACCGCGACTCGAACCGCCCCCGCGACTGCTGCGGCTCCGAACATCGATGGCATCCCACACCCGCACAAGCTCCTCACGCGTCGAGAGCAGGCTGAAGCTGTGTCGCTGTGTCCATGGACGGCGGACGCATGTGGCCGGACGCAGTGAAGGGAAGGTCTGACCCTGAGAAATGGGAGGCTGGCTTAAGTCTTAGAAGATTAGATGACTTGTGAGGGGAGAGGGATGCAAAATCGTACTGCATGATGACATATGATGACTATAATAAGAAATGTATAATAGAATACTATAGATGTCACTTGTCAAAGATCTCACAGAGGTCTTCTTCTAACCACCTCAGTGGTCTTCTTCTGTTCTTCGTCTTCGAAGCACGTCCGATCCCAGACTTCGTCCGATCTCGACCGTCTCCTCGCTGCTCTGTGCGGCTTCACTTTGGACCTCCTGGCCGAATGCCGAGATGCGCCGAGAACGGCGGAGACCAGCGAGAACGGCCCGAAAACCGCGAGGGTGAAGCACTCAACAGAAGGGATGGAAATTCCGAACCTGCAACACCAAGCAACTGGCTGTTAGAGGTGTTTGGTCTTTGGATGAATTTGGGTGGGGTCAGACTTGTTTCATGATGTCTTTTTTATCTCTGTTTTGAAGGTTGTTTGAATTAAAGTAAATATTTTTTGTTAAATCAATGTTGTGTTTGTTCATCCCTGCAGCAACAAAGGTCACG